GAGTCCCAGTCTGATATCGTTCACTTCTGGCATTTCTTAATCTTGTTCCGGGCTAAGTTGGCGATGCTGAGTTGCCTGTTGATCTCCCTCATCATGGTCATTATCTGCTTTTCGTTTAATCGGTTCACTTGGTGGATCCTTCATCTCTTCATCTTCAATTTCGAACTCGGCCCACCCGGTCCAATAACCGTTAAAGGGGTTTCCCATTGCCCATGTTTGGTCATCTCCCTCTTTGCCGTACCAAGCATCTTCATGCTCACGTATTTCACCGCTGTCGTTTAGAATGGCATGGGTAAATCTCCTGGGTTTAAGTTTATCCCAATCGACAGGGCATCCACCATTGGTGGGAAAGGCTAACTCTCTTCTTGGTCGCCGATGTTGACATATAACTTTGTGTCCTTTTATCACCCACACATCTTTTGCATCCTCAACTTTGGCGCCCGGCGGAGGTGGTACGTTGGGTCTCAGTCTGTTCGCTTGACTTTCTGATTCCTGATTTTGACTTTCCGACGCACGGCTTTTACCTTCGAGCCTTAGTTGGGCCGATGCTAACCTTGCCTGTATGTTTGGGCTTTCTTGTCTTTTTAACCACTCGATAACGCGAGCCCTGCAATCAGCATTATGTGGTTTGTGCTCTTTGTCGCCTCTAACTAGGCATTTACACCCGTAACATCCCGGCGTCGGTCCCATTTTTAGATATTCGTGCTTCTTTACGGCTATTCCTCGCGCAATCAGCGGCTTCGTCTCAGGCGCCGTTAACTCTTGCTCTGGTAAGTCCATGGGTACCATAATTCTAGACTGTAACTCCATTCCCGCCGTGCTGGGGCCAGGCTGCCAAGGTAACCCCTTCATCTCGGTGATCTCGTTGCTATTCCATCTTTCCGCTTCACTTCCTTTTCGTTTGAACTCGTGCGCTTTGATCGCTCCGTTCGGTGTCCCAATGATGAGCTCCTGACTCTTCTCGTTGATTCCCAAAAACACTCCACTTTCCCATCTCATCTCAAGCTTTTCACGGCCCTTGTGTGCAGGCGTCTTTAAGTACATGACACATTCACCGAACTCAGGAATTTGCTTGTTAAACTTTCTCCCCCTGCATCTCTCATGGGCTGTCTTTCCATCCGTAGCTATCGTGAATTTGTTAATCAGAGAAGACGCACAGCTTACCAACCATGGTATAATCGTATGACTTTCACTGAACCCGGTCTTGTAATTAGCATCCAAGGCGCTCTTTAATGTCCTGACTTGCCCTTGCACCGTTCTAACTGCTCTCTCAATTTCACCGCTGGCCTTTGAGTCGCCTACAGGACTGACTTCAACGCCCATGTCGAGGTCACACGACGCTTTAATCCTGTTGGCCAGCGCCGTAATTGCCGCTTCTCCATCGCTTTTGAGTATAACCTTCTTATATCCGGTAAAGCTGATCATGTCGCATCCCACTTTTACTAAGTATGAATCCACTCCTTTCTTCAACAACACTCGGCTCCACGTTAATTTGGTTTCCCTGCAATGCATGACCAGAATTGGGTTGCCATTGCTGGCACTTTCGCCCTCTTCCTTTCTCCCTTTAAGCCACATGTAATCCATTCAAATTACTGGCGCACCTCCGTTCCTTTCCCTTTTACGTCTCCTGCGATTGCGCCTACGTGCTTTGCCTCTAACGCAATGTGGGCACCAGCTTCGGTAAGGTAAATGCTTCGTATTGTGTGCCTCAACTTCCCCCCTTGATGGTCTCATGTCACAGTGAACTTTCTCCGGTAACTCTGCTTCGTCACTCACAAACACGTCTTCTACGTCACTCAACTCACTTTCGCTGCCCCCACTTTCACTCCCTTCGCCTTCTTCGGCGTTAAAGACGTTTAAATGTTCGCTTGGTCTTACGGGTAATGAGGGGCTTAGTAGAACAGGTCCGCCTCGAGGGTTCCCGGCCGCGGAAAACCCTCAGCTGCGTTCACTTCACTCTTGGGGTTGACAGCCTCCACTGGTCCCTTCGGCACCATGATGTTAAACTGAAACGTGCCGTTCTTCTCGTGGATGGTTGTGCATTTACCTGTGGCCTTATTCATAATATGACTCAGGGATCTCCCGTTAAGATCCTTGTCAAACACAACTCGGTTTCCAGCGTTTACCATTTCTCTGACAGATCCCAGAACTTTGTTGACTTCCGCCACTTGAATTGGCATGCTGACTGAGTTTCCATGTTCATTCTTGTCGGTGACTACTCGCCGCCCGTAATTCTTTATCGTCGTTCCATTTGCTGCGCTGTAGTGTCTTCCCTGCTTTGACGCATCTGTTTGTTTAATGGGGAAGTAGGTGCCTACTCTTGGGGGTCCTACCGTGTTGTACGCTCCAGAGTCCACGGTAACCACGATTGTTTCATGCGTTGTACTCTGAGGTGGCACCGCGTTAATTTCTGGATCACAGTCTCGCATCTCGATTAGCCCAATCTCTCTACATTTCTCCAACCAACTCTTTTCCTGTTTTATACTTTTACTTATCCTCTGGTCCCACTGATTCTCATGATTGCAGTTCCTGTCGCGCTGGTGCTCCTGGTAGGCTTTTCTCAGGTCCACTGCGACTTTACGCGCCATTTTCTTTCTGGAATATGAGGGCAGTGCCCATTGTCCGTTAATCTCCTCAGCTGTGAGCTGTTCCGGTGGCACGTTCCCCTCATCATTCATTTCAACACTGAGAACATGCTGCGGTTGGCCAAACCAGGTGGTTTGTTCACTTTCCGCGTTCACCGTTGGTCTCTCTTGCTCAACTTCGTTGGCGGTCTTCTTGGGGCCCGGGCAGTTAACGGCGATGTGCCCTTTAGCTCCACACTTATAGCACTCACGCTCGCTGTGGGGGGTAAATCTTCCTTGGCCTCCGTAACTTCCACCCCGCGAGCCGCCCCCTTTACCACCTTGTTTGCCTCCAATCTTACCTTTCATGTAGGATCCATAGGTGGCCAGGTCACCTTTACCTTTGCCGCCTTTGCCGCCATCGCCTCCTTTCGTGAACTGTTTAGGCTTTGTGCAGTTCCTGGCTAAATGACCCATGCCTCCGCAATTGTAACATTTGGGGCCTGAGCCTTTACCTTTACCCTTGTTTACGGCGTCGACTTCTTCATGATCTCCACTGTCGCTTTCATTAGCCCAGGACCCGTAACTCCAAGATCCGTCCTCTGGCCACCAATTTCCGTCCTCGTCAACCCATCCTGTCTGGTCCCAGACATTTTCGGACCCTTGACTCGTCTCGTTAATATTTCCAATGTCCATCGCATCTTTATTCTTAGTGTCTGAGTCGAGTTTCTTTTTACGCGCCCAATCTTCACACTTGGAGTATAGCTTCTGGAATGAGTCAATGTTAAGTGCGTCGGGCGTTCGCCAGCGCGCCTGCTGCCACTCGTCAAACCAATCGTTCGCATGCACCATTATTGCCCTGAGCGCGGTAACCTTAAAGGGGAGGGGCAGTGGGTAATCCTTGCCATACTTTTCAAGGTTCTCCGCTAACGCGCTCCACTCCTCAAGTCGGGCAACGGTGTCGGTAATTTTCTTGGGCGGTTCAGGGTTCATGGCGTGTGTCATCCTTGAGGAAAGGGTCGCTCCGGTAACGGCCGAGTGCCATTTGTAAACCTTTTGCCAAGCCATAATTCCGTCACCATCCATGAGTCCCTTTAATTTTCCTCTTGCTTCTGCACCTTCGAGCTTTTCGTTAAGGATGTACCATAAGTCTTCCTCCATTTGAGTTTTGTCTCCCTCGGTAAACTCATGCTCTCCTTTGTTGTCATCCTCTGCTTGTTTAGCTGGATTCGCCTTTAAGTATTCGCTTGCTGTTAGCCGACCGTTCATTATGCGTATGATATCATCATCATCTTCCTCTGGTACAACTCCGTCGAGTGTCTCCAACTTCTTGTTCAGCATTTTCAGTGCCGGTCGGTAACTCGGTTTTACTTGGGCCAGCGCGTTTAAGAACTTGTCGTTCCAGTCTCTGAACTTTGCTCTTTCTCCACTGAAGTTCTTTAACGCCTGTGATGCTTTGTGCTCGCTTATCGGTTTACCGCTCCCGTGCTTGCTTCCGCTTCCTCCTTTGATTGCCTCAGAAAAATGACCCAATTGTTCAATTAACTTCTCTTGTACTTCGCTGTTGGTCTCCAACTCGGTGACTCTTTCTACCAGCCTGCGAGCATCCCTTTCAAGCGCAGCGTTTCTCTTCGCTATCGCTAACAACATGCTGTTGGTCTTCTGAGCGCTCTGTAACATTTGAAATGCCTCAGCGTTCGATACCTCCCTTCGGTCCTGTGTCACTCGTTCGTTAATGAACGTCGCAAGTTCATAATGATTTGCAAGTAGCGCTGTCTGAACGTAACTGAAGTCCCCGTTCAGGTACGCCTGCTCGCACAGGTCGTTGAAGCGGTTAGGGTCCACGTTGACCCATGCATCTCTGTCCGCCGGCACATTAAGGTTTAACCGGCGGGTCGCCCTGCGCGGGCCTAGCTGCAGCGGCCGCTGCCGCCGCCATGGCAACCGCGCTCCGCTACCATGCAAAACCCCGAGGAGGGTTCTGCACGGGGGCCCAGTGACAGCGATGACGATCGGTCACCTTTTTACTCCCGCACGGCGAAGCGAGTCTCGGTGGCTTCAGCCGATAAACACTTGAGCCAAAGGTAACAGGGTCACCTTCCCCCCCCCCCCCCCCCCCCCAGTCACCTGAACGCTTACATGTTAACACTTCCTCCTCCTCCTCCTCCTCCTCCTCCTCCTCCTCTTCCTCCTCCTCCTCCTCCTTCTTCTCTCTTTTTTTTTTGCCATCAACGGCAATGCCTCAGGAACGTACTAACCTGACTGGGCGAGACACCTCAGCCAGGAAAACAAAAACCTTCAATCCGAAGAAACCGCTCGAAAACCGAGGCCTCGGGACAGGGAGGGGAGCCTCGTCTCCTATGAGAGCGGTCTCCCGTCCCGAAAACGAAAACAAGAAACCTGCCGCCTCCTCCTCCTCGCCCCACTCCTCCCCACCAGCACGGGCGCCGCCTTGAGGCTCGGGCTGGGCAGGGGCCTGAACGCCGCCTGATCCTGCCCCTGCTCGCGGGGGCATGTTGGGCGGAGGGGCGGAATGTGGGGGGGGGGGGGGGGGGGGGGGGGGGGGGGGCAGCAACTGTGAGGCTAATCAGGGTGACTGCCCTTCTGAATCTTCCTCCAGTTTCTGTGGCCCGTTATAGTGGGCGGTTGACACGACTGGCCCAGCTTCTTGACCTGGGCTCCAGAACTATAACACCTGCAATGCAAGCATGTGAACACAAACGAATTGTCGGAACAAGCAAGAGCAATGACCTTATGTCCTAACCTGTCAAGCACCGCCGAGTCCAACCTGGAGTGGCCCCTGCACCCCCCAGGCTCAGGCTTGGACTGCGACAGAGAGCCCTGAAGGCACACTCTGCATCTCCAGACATTACTGATACGCTCCAATTGGCGCTGGCGCCGAGCGATGGCAGGAGCAGGAAGAGGAGGAACCCGCTCCACCCCACGAAACTCCACCCGAGGCCAAAGGGAGAGGAGAGCAGCACCGAGAGCCACCACAGTCTTGGAAACTTTAATTTTCCAGTCGAGCTCCCTCAAGAGCTGAGGGTCAAAAGGAGGGTGGCGGGCTACCGCTCGCTTGGCTCCAGCATCCGCTAGCTCGTTGCCCATCCTCAGTAACTTCTCCTCAGGGGATAATACATCCTCCTCGGGGTCGAGGTGGGCAGCGACTTTGGCCAGAGAGCGCAGCTTTCCCCTCCCTGGAGCTAAACCCTGCAACATAAGCCCAGAGTAGACCCTCTTGGGGGCCTAGGGGGTACTGCTTAACAACGTTGGCACAATCACTATAGGCGTCAGCCTCGCCCCCAACGCATACACCTATATCGCAGAAGGCGGAATGCTCAGCGGCCCGGGGGGACTGAGCGTACGGGGGCCGCGCGGGGGCAGAAACTTCGCATAGCAGCTTGGCGTCGGGGCCCACCATGGCCACGCACCAAGCGCCCCTGCACAATTCAGACACAGGGTGGCGGATGCAAGAGCCATCTATGAAAAGAGAACCCCAGACACCTGATTCAGGAGAGGCGGGGGCGGGCTCCAGGGACCCAGGGAGAGAGACCTCAGGGACCGCCCAGCGCACCGAGACTTCTCCATTACTCTCGGGCATAAGGAAATAATCACCAAGGTGCCCGGAAGCCCCGTAGATCCAGCGAGGGAACTCGTAATCCTCAGCCCCCGTGTCGAGCGCACAAGTCAGGACTTCGGCATCAGCGATTTCCTGCCTCCCGGACGCGCACGAGGGGCACTCCCAGATGCGGCGCCGCAAAGTGTCCACCGACCCGCGGCACAACTGGCAGAGGTCGCTGATCTGGTAGCCCGCCAGCTTCGCAGAGCTGGCCGTCCAAATAGCATTACACGCGGGAGCTCTCATAGTGTAGTGGAGCGGTCCTTCGGGCTGGAGCGTTTCGACCTGATTTTTGACCCGGCAATGCCCCAGCAGAGTCCGTGGTCGACCCCCAGCTTCCCCCCCGCAGACCGTTCGAGCCCCCGAAGGACAGCACCGCGACACAACACCCCCACAAGCTTCGGAGACAGGAGAAGAAGCTGGAGGGTCTCACCTAGATCGTTGATCATGGTGCAGAGATCGAGCATTTGCCACCCCAAACGGTACAACGACATGCGCAGAGCAGAAACAGGGCCCCTCACTTTGGCCCAGGACAAGTCATCCTTGCTGAAAGCGACCTCCCAAGCGGCCCTTAACACCGAACAGGGGAGGGCACCATCAAACGCTCGCGTTTGCACGAGCCATAACTCCTTGCACCAACGAATGATGGGGGCAACGCTCGCCCTCCAAGGGGGGTCACCCTCCAGGAGGGAGAGAATGGTGAGGGAACGACGTTGAGACTTAGGAGAGATAGTGGCCATGCCCTTGCTCCTAAGTGCGTGAAGTTCACGGCCCGAAACACCCCAGATTTCGGACCCGAAAGAAACGCCCGCCAGCGGGCCGGGCGCGAAGATTTGGATCGAGGATATCCCAAGAACTTGCTTGTGCTTATCCAGGCGACGACGCTGACGAAAAAAACTTGGCCTGGCGAGCCTTGTTTAGACGCTTTGCCCTCTTTCTGGGGCCTGGGGTAGAGGTGCGCAATGAGCGGCCTACCGTGTAGTCAACTCCTAGGTTCACCACCGAGGCCGAGGGCTTGCCGCACAACTCTCCCAGCCGCTCCTCAAGCTGACTCGCAATGGACTTATGGCTGCACACGCAGCCGACCTTGTCGAGGGCCAGCGAGCAGCCAAGCTCCTGGGTGACCGCCTTGTGCAAATCACCGGGGAAGAAACGAGCGCCTCGACCACTTCGGGAACCGTGCCCGTGTGTGAGAGACATGCGTCATCAATGTAGGCGTCAAAGTCAGCGCCACAAGCCAAAGCTGCACTCAATTCATCGGAGGCCTCGAGGGCGAACGCTCTGATGGACGACGTAGCCATAGAACAACCTGCCACAACCCCAGACTCGACCCAGAACGGGCCCTCGATGATGCCCCCAAGACTGAGGAACCTGCACGAACGATACGAGGCCAAAGCAACTCTGGTAATGACAATGGGGAACTCAAGGCTGTGGCACTGACTTTCCAAGTACTCGAGCGAGATGCTCTCGTAGTACTTCTGAAGATCATAGAACACCGAGCCTGCGGCGAGGCCTTTGGAGACGCCCGCCTCGGTCTTGAAACTCCGCCTCCAGACCGCGTCGGTGGCTCCCCTGTTGGCCCCTGCCGCCCAGTAGGGCCGCGCAAAACGCTTTTCCCACTCGAGGGCGAAAGGCCTCCTGGCACGGCCCCAGGGCCGATGCCACGAAACGAAAGACCCGATGGGCCTGAAGCCTCCAACAGGCTTGGGCAAGAGGGCAAAGAAAACCGCCATCATTTGTCCAGGGAGCCGGCCCGTAGCTCCCACGACTAAGAGGAGCCCCGAGAGCGCAGTCAGGGCAGCATCACTCAGCACCGAATAATGCCTGAGGTGGAAGCCGCCCACAGAGACAGCACTCTGCTTGCAGTAGGATTTACTTATTTGTCTGATGTCATCGGGGGTCAACCTGGGCAGGGGATTGACCAACTCCACGGGCCCCGCAGGAGGGCCAGCCCCGAACCCCCACCATTCCTGAAAACGCTTACCTTCAGCAGCCAAGAGGGCCCTGGGATCAGCCACGAGGTCCCCGTTGTAGGCCAGCGTAACCGTGGGGGCCCAGGGAGCAGGATCTCCGAGGACCTGATGAGTCTTGCGGCCACCTTTGTCGAGCCCCTCTTGGAGCCAGGAGCGCCATCTGGATCTTGTTTTCCTTCGCGAACTCCTTGGCAGCATCAGCGAGGAGCGGGGCGAGGACGGAAATCAGCTGATCCACGTCAGCAACAAAGTCGGAGAGCGTAGCCGGCATCCGAACGATCAGATCCGACTTTTCCTGGCCAATATTATCGAGCGCAATGGGCAAAACGCGGGGGGGGGAGTGACTCCAGTAGGAGCCGACGAGGGCGCCAGGCGCGTGAGGCCAGCCAACCGATCAGCGATGGGCGCTGCTAAGCTGGCGGCTTGGCGAACAACTCCAGCATGACTCCCCCTCGCCGTGCCCGAGCACGGAGGAGGCGAGCACAAGACCTTGATGCGTTGTCGTGGAACTCGAAGCAACAACACTTCCGATCTCAATGCCTTGAACTGAGTCTCCAACCACTTCAGACCTCGCACAACAGGGTCCTTGGGAGGATGGTGCGCCTGACAAATGGGCCCCCAAAAGGTTTCCATGGTTTTGCCCCTGAACCCATAGACAGGCAGGTCAGCCCCAAGAATCTTGGCCAAGTCCAGCTCAGCTCTATTCGCCCAGGGACCGCAACCTTCCGAAAGCAGGGCGGCGGCCCCATCCCCATCCCCAGCAAACACTTTATCCACCGCAGTGTTGACAAGGTCCAAAACCAGATCCCAATCAGCGCTGCACTCCCGTGGCCGAGGGCCGAACGGGGGGTCAACGGGCAGGGGCGGAGGTTTGCGGAAAGCGAGAGCCTTCAGGGGGAGAAGCCGAGGGTGAAAAATCAGCGACACAGGACGGTGGGGGCTGAGCGTCGTGCCCAGACGAACGCTGGCCTCGCTGAGGCCCTAAGCGAGGGGGGAGGAAACAACGAAATAGTCGAACTTGGAGGGAGTGCCCTGGGGGGGATAGCGGGCGCAATCAGGAGTGGAAACGAGAAGCCCCCCAGCGGCTTTCGCGAAACCCATGCCTTCCAAGATATCTGGACCATAATTGAAGTCCCCTCCGATGATGTATTCTGCCGACTCGCTGCTCACAAACTCCCCCAAGTCGCTGAGGATGTCCCCGTTGAGGTGTCGAGCCCCGCGGAGTGGTGAAGATGCAGCGAGACCAGCAGCAGAGCGGGGCTGTCAGGGGCGCGACGCTTGCAGGCTAGGCAGCGGCCCCGAGCAATGGCTGGGGAAGGTGCAGAGTAGAGCCCAAGCCAAGCCCTAGCAAAGATCGCCACGCCCGCGCTGTCGCCACCCTGTGGCCCTGGGACAGCCGCAAGCCAAATAGATTTCCAACCGGCGCGGAGGGCCGAGACGGAGGCGCGATCAATGGCCTCGGGATCACTGAGTCGATGTTCTTGGCGCAGGATGATGTGTGCCGAGCAGCTCGGATCCTCCGAGAAATCCCTCATCGTCCCCCACTTGTTACAGCTGATGGCCCAAACTTCCGACGCCGCGCTGACAGCGGCCCCTGGGCACTCCCCTGGGTCCTGGGTCCTGGGGGCCTGAGCGGGGGAAAGGGGAGAGTCGGCATTGCCCTCGGGCCACAAAACAATCTTCTGCGCCTCGAAAGCAGAAGATACCCAAAAAGGGCAATACTCCCGTTTCAGCCTCCCGCTGGTGGCAGGTGTGCAAAAGCCCCTGGGGACCGCGCTGGGAAGACTCATCCAGGCGTGAACCTCCAAGATAAAAGTTATCGATCTCGGCAAAACTACGAAACAAAAGAGGCCAGGCGCCTCTCACGTCCATGAGGTCACTTACCCCCTCCCTTCCCAGGGAGGGGGCATGGATTTGAAAGCTCAGCTGCAACCTGCACGCGAATGTCGGGCTCCGAAGGCTCAGCCTGTGAGGCTGATGTAGAACGCCCCGACGACGCGTCGCCCGCTGCCAGACCAGCTCCATCACCGCCCCCAGCTGCTTCGCCCCCGAGCGTAGCCGCGTCCGAGACGTTGCCAGCACCAGTCTTGCGCTTCTTGCCAAGCCTCTCGAGATGTTTGGCGTGCTGCTCCTTAGCTTCTTTGATCTTTGCCAGATCATCTTCAAATAACGATTTGGCCGCCTCGCGAACCTTGCCAGACAACTCGCCCTTGCGCTGCTGAGTCTCCTTGCGATCTTGCTCCTCGAGCTCGTAGGCGTCGTCATCGGCCTCGAGTACATTTGTGGAGATGATTTGGTCGATGGACACCGACCCGTCCACCAACTGCTCGAGCGTGAATTGGGCCACTGCAGCAGGAGCTGGCTCAGAAGGCACCTGCTGCTGCAACTCCAGCACGACCTTTTTGTAGTTCGCATCTGCTTCACCCAGTTCAGCGTGCAGCTCAGCCACCTTCTTGCGCTGCTCTTCGAGCTCCGCCCTCCACTTGTTGAGCTTTGCAAGCTCGACCTGCAAGGCACGCTCTTTGCGACGAACAGCTGCGTGGGCTGACTGGACCTGCTGCTGGAGGGACGGGGCTGGGGCCCTCTCAGCCTTGCCCAGTGAAGCCGCAATGGCACGGTACCTGGCAGCCAGCTGCTCTTCTCCCCCCTTGGCGTGCAACTCGGCGAGCTGCTTGGCCTCCGAGGCGGACAGGCGAGGAACAGGGCCAGGTGGCAACGCTCCAGACTGTTCTCCAGGAAGAGCCGCTGCCTGCTTGCCTTTGCCGTCCCCAACGAGCACAAAACCCTTGCCTTTTCCCTTCTTGCCCTTGCCCTTGCGCCCACCTTTGCCAGAGTAGTCTCCAAGCACCATGGCGTCAACCTCTTCGTCGACTGACGAGAAGCCGCCAGACCACACTCCAGAGGCAGGTTGAGCAGGGGTGGCCTGGACCTTGGGGAGTACGGCGTGGCAGTGCTTGCACCACTTGAAGTGAGCCAGGTTGCGACGACATCCGCAGTACGGGCAGGCACTTTTTGAAGGCGGCGTGCGATTCGAGGGCTCACCTCCTCCCCCTTGCCGAACCCAAGGATTGTAAACCCAGCCGCCAGCACCGAGAGAAGAAGCTGTCTGAACCATCGCACACGGGTACGGGGAATGCCTGAAACTAACGTGATGGGAAGAATGTTGGGGCAAGCCCCAGTCAGAGTATCAGACAAACTCTGAAGATCGAGGGTGGGGCCGCTACTTCCCTGTGCCAGAACAACTCAAAGTCCCCCTGAGCCACCGCTACGGACTTGAGCCAAAATGGCTACGGAGCCTCCTCCTTCTCCTCCTCCTCCTCCTCCTCCTGCTCCTCCTCCTTCTCCTCCTCCTCCTCCTCCTCCTCCCCATCCTTCGCTTCCTCCCCCCACTCCTAGCCCTTTAGATCAGGGTCGGCGGCACCGGCCGTCAGGCCTCTCCAATTCACAATATATCCCGCCCTTCATGCCGGCACGCCCCTCGCACGTTTGCCACCTCAGCACACCCCTCGCACGCTTCTTGGCCCCATACGGGGGCCCAACCGAAAGGCCAAACGCCAAAGTTCACATGAACTCCCGCCTGCCATTTGTTGGAACGCCCTTTCGAACGCTTCGCGGCCCCCCACCGAGCGCGGCCCAAACGACCCATGGCAAACCACCCGTTTCCGTGCTGTCACCCTCGCTTTCCAAGCCTCCCTCCGGCCGCATTCATACAGGTCGTTCATTTCTAATCGTGTTCATTTCTAATTGTGCTCGTTTCTAATGGTTCCTGGCCCCCCAGTGGCCAGGAATACGCCCAGGATGGAAGAATTAGAAATGAACGGATCTTGGCCCCCCAAAAAATCAAAGAACTTCCGAGTAATTCGAAATGAACAATGTGTAAGTCTTGGGGCGAGGCGAAGGGAACGCCACGGAAGGGGATGGTTGTTGTTGGGGGTCGGCCAGGCCGCCCCTGACCACAGGGAACCCCAAATGCTGCCTTAATGGCGAGGTAGGGGGAATAGGGTGGTAAACGTTGTGGGCGTTACAAGGCGTTCCAAATGCTTGAATGGCATAGCATGGCATAGCATGGAATAGCATGGCACAGCATGGGATAGCACAGCATAGCATGGCAAAGCGAGCAGAGTCTAGGCTTTCGTGCGATAGCGAATGGAATTCGTTCTTTCGTGGGGAAGCGGAACCCCGAGCCGAAAATCAGGAAACAAAACAAACTGAAAAAAACAGCAAAACCAGAAAATCCGTGAAACATCAAAACAACATTTTTTGAACAAATCAGAAAATCCACCCGAAACCTTGGTTTTGATTGGATTTTGCAGATTTTTCTTGGAGAACCAATGATTTCTTTAATGTTTTATGGGTTGTCTGGTGTTTCTGGTTTTCCGTTTTTACTTGATTTTCCTCCGCCCTTCTTTCTCTTATACTTTGTCCCTTCCGAACCCGAAAATAAAAAAATAAACGAAAATCCAGAACAACCAGAAAATCCGGGGAAAAAAAGAACTCATGCTTTTTAAGCAGAAAAATCCAACCAACAACTTGGTGTTGATTGGTTTTGATAATTTCCCCATTGGAAAGCCAATGGTTTTCTGTTTGTTTATGATGTTCCTTCGCCCTTCTGTCCCTTATAAGTTTTTCCTTCCGAACCCGAATATCAAAACAAAACAAAAATCCAGATACAACAGAAAACCCGTAAACAAATCAACGAAACCATTTGTTCTTTAAGGAAAATCAGAAACATCAAACCAAAACCTTTGTTTTGATAGGAGTTTGCTGGTTTGTTCTATGACAACCAATGTTTTTTTTGTGTTACGGATTTTCTGGTTGTTCTGATGTTTCTTCTTTTTTTCCGGATGTTCCTCCGCACTTCATGTGCAAACCAGGGGGAGGGCTCGTGCCTTTAAAATTCGTGTTCTTGAAGGGGGGAATGCTGTTGACATTCCCCCTTGATTTGTTAATGCCTGTTTCTGATTTCCTTTGCTGTTTGTATGTTTTGTGTGTGTGTGTGGTTTGTTGCGTTTGGTGTTCGTTGTAATTTGTAATTGTATTCGGCACGTTATCCTTCCTCACTGGTTCTATGCTTCTCCCCTGTCTTCCTCGTTTCCTTTTTCCCCCCTCCTTCCTTCCCTCCTCACCCCTTCCGCCATTACCATTACAATCGTTTCTCATTTCCTCTGTTCCTTCCATTACTGTAATGCAGATTGCAACTTCATTGGGTTGCGACTTGTTGCAATGTCCCGCGCGACGGTGCCGCCTCCTTGGCGACAGACGGGAACACCATGCGTTTGCAGCGCAATGCAATGCAATGCCGAGGAGGGAGGAGGAGTGAGGACGGAGGGGGGGAGAGTGGTGGAGAGGCCTCCACATATTGATTCATGAGGGCTCCGCACATTGATTCCTTGTGTGGAGGGGCCTCCACATGTTGATTCTTGTTGTGGAGGGGCCTCCGCAAATTAAATCCTTGTGTAGTGGGGCCTCCACATATTGATTCCTTATGTCGAGAAGCCTCCACATATTGATTCCCTGTGTGGAGTGGCCTCCTCACATGGATTCCTTCTGTGGCTCTCCTGTGCCTAGCAAGGGGGGGAGGTGGGAGGAGCGAATGAGGATGTGAGGCGGGAGGATGGACGAGGAGGCGCAGAGGGGTTGGGAGGGAGGGGGCGAGGGGAGGGAGAAGGAAACGGGCGGAGTCCCTTCCTCCAGCCCGAATAGGAACGCAGTAAGAATGCGATGCGATTGCAACGCAATGCAATACCATGCGTTTGCAGTGCAATGCAATGCAATGCAATGCCGAGGAGGGAGGAGGAGTGAGGACGGAGGGGGGAGAGGGTGGAGAGGCCTCCACATTTTGATTCCTTATGTGGGAAGGCTCCACACATTGATTCCTTGTGTGGAGGGGCGTCCACAGATTGATTCTTGTTGTGGAGGGGCCTCCACTATCATCACCATCCCCACTCACGTCATCAGCATCATTGTCATCATCGTCGTCGTTGTTGCCATCCTCATCGTTATCATCATCGTAATCATCGTCGCTATCACAATCATACTGTCGCATTATCTTCATCATCGCTATCGAGAGAAAGCCAAAACATTACCACCCTATTCCCCTGCTCTCCTTAATGGCAGGGTTCACATGAGCTTCCGCCTCTTATTTCGGAAGCATCTGGGGGTGTGGAGGCCCTTCTGGCGCTCTGGCAGGACACCATTTCTTCGGCCCTGGCGTGGCGTGTCACAGTCAGCAAGCATAGCGATACCACGTGATAGTGGCTATGTGCTCATGTGCGTTCCGTACTCAGCATGTTGCTTGCTTGCTTGCTCTCACACGCTTCGTGGCCCCATAGGGACCCTCAACTAAGGCCCGAATACCAATCTTCAGGCGAGTTCTTGCCCCCCATGCCGGCACACCCCGAGCTCCAAGCCCGCCTGCAAGGGTTCGCGTGAGCTCCCGCCGATCATGTCGGCCCACTCCTCGCACGCTTCGCGGCCCCAATTGAATCCTCATCTAAGGCCCAAGCGCTACGGTTCACACGAGCAGTCGCCTGTCATTTCGGCACACGCCCCTTCGCTAGGTGGCCCCACCGAGGAGCCAGAACGAAAGCTCAAATGCGACTGTTCGCATGAATTCCCGCCTGTCATGTCGACACGCCCATCACACGTTTCGTGGCCCCACTAAGGAGCTCCAACTCAAGACAAAATGCCAGGGTTCACATGCGTTCCCGCCTCTTTGTCGGCACACCCCTCACACGTATGTGGCCTGCTATGGCCCACGTGCTACGGTTCGCATGGGCTCCCCTCTTATCTTGTCGCACCCTTCACACATGGGGGGCTCTAACTAAGGCCCACATGATGCCTCCACGAGCTGACCTTGCGGCTTGGAACGGGGGTGTGACGTCTGTATATCTTGCGGGAACCTGAAAGAAGCGCTCGCCAGACATCCGCTCGCTCCCCAGCCCGCGCCCCTATGCTGCCGTGCTCTTGTTCGCATCTGCCCACCTTCTCCGTGGTCCAATTCTTGGTGCTGGCCCCCCTTCATTTGTGATCGCAGCTGCGCCTGGTGGGGTCCTGCGCCAGGGTAAATGGTCCTGAAGGTTTGGACAGATTTGCACGTACTGGTCTTTTCTGGCTTACGAACGCCCAAGACGGCCGAAAAAGGTCTCCAAGACGGCCCAAGGGGGGTCCAGCACAGCACAAGAGGCTCCCAAGACGGCCCAAGAGGCTCTGAAGAAGGTTCCAAGACAGGCCCAAGAGGAGGACATCGAGCTGGTCTTGGTTGTCTTACAGGATCGCTCCCAAGAAACCCAACATGCCCCCAACAGGCCATCAGAAGCCAAGACGCGCCCGAGAGACCCAAGAGGCCCCCTACAGAACACCAAAGAAGTCCCCCTAAGAGGTCCCCCTACAGGACACCAAAGGAGTCCCCCCTCCAAGAGGTTTTTCTACAGAACAGCAAAGGCATCAAACACTGGCACAACAGGCTCTCAGGAGGCCCCTGAGAAACTCCCGTACGTGCATTCAACCATCCACCTTCACGCTGCGCCGCTACTCTGGCTCGGTGGCGGAGTGTGCCGCAAGGAGATGGATAACCAGAAGGAAGCTTATGATCGGACTGCCCGTGGTTGCGCAGATCGTAGGCGAGCACGTGAAATCCGCCATCGTGAAGAACCCTGTGCAGCTTGACATAGTCGACGGCCTCCACTTTCAAAGCGCCACCCTTGAAGTGCTCGACACATCCAGCCCTGTTCGCCTCGGACCACGACTGGTGGCCAACGATGGCAAGCGTATGGCAGGCCTTGCTTGCACACGGAATGTACCATGCCGAGATTCGGACGCCATCCAGTGCGGGGAACGTCACGTCTTCGAACTCCATTCCATAATCTGCCGGCGTCTTGGCAAACGTGTGGGTTGTGCTCTTCTTGCCGTACCACGTCGCATCCATGACAGCGGATACAGGGCCTGCGGGGTTTGCCATCCCCAATGTTTCACACTTCAATTAACAAATAAACAAGCCCAGCTCTGACGCTTGAGCAACAAGACGGTGGAGATGCTTGAGCAAAGGGCTCACACATCAGCGCTTCGGATCTCGAGGCTCCCGAACGGAATGTCGACTGGCAGCGACGCGGCAACGACAGGACAACTGACCGAACCGAAACGACCAAACGAAACCGACTGCGGCAACATAGCCGGCCGAACGCGGGCTACCTCGGATTTGTCCTCGGAGTGTCGGAGCGGACGAACGGGAGGAGGAGGAGGAGGAGGAGGAGGAGAAGGAGGGGGGATAGACAAGCTAGGTGCGCTCGCGTCATATCTGACGTCCTGCCCCTCCCTCCCATCCCTTACCATGGCGCTGATTTTCTCTATCCGCGGACGCGTGTCGTAGCGGACCTGTGGCTCCGCGCGCGCGTGCGTAGTGGGTGGTGGTGCGTGCGTGCGTGCGTGCGTGTGTGCGTGGTTGTGGTGGGTGGGTGGGTGGTGGTGGTGGTGGTGGTGGTGGTGGTGGTGGTGGTGGTGGTGGTGGTGGTGGTGGTGGTGGTGGTGGTGGTGGTGCGGCGCGGTGGTGGCGGGCGGATGGGCGCGCGAGAAAGAGGCCCGCGCTGGGGCGAGAACGCCATCCTGAACGACGGAGGCCAAACACCGATCCGAAAATGAGGCCCACGCTGCAGCGGGAGCACGATTCGGTACGATTCGGGAGCAGAAATGAAGCCGGCGCCTCAGCGAGAGCAGGATTTTGAAAAAAACGCAAGCGAAAACCCAACTTCCGGGAATCCTGTGTGCTGAAAAACAGTACGCGGGGGGGGGTCGGCTACTTTCAGGCCGCCATGGGGGAAGAGGGAGAGTAGTATTCATATTGAGTAAGTGTAAAAGGGGGATGGGGAAGCAGCTGCATGCAGCTGGCTTTGCCGCCGCCTCCCAGCGCCGCAGGAGGCCGCGTCTCGAAGGCAAGGCCTGGTGGCGGCGGGGCCGCAACCACCGGCACGCAGCAGGTTTCGTACCGTTCCGTTCCATAGCGTTAGGTCGGACATGTCCACCAACAGGCGGATTTTGGAAGAAAAATAAGCAATAATCAAACATACCCTAAAAATGAAAAAATAGTCAAACATCGTCCCCTGACTATTTTCGACAAATGTTTGAACATTCCTCGAGCAGAGGAACACGCCCGACCTAACCGTAGGCGGCTTGGAACGTACCCGTGCTCAGGAAAAGGGACAACGCGTGGGACAGTACACGAAAACCAGCGTCACTCCTCTGGAGGCGCCCAGATCATAGCGCAACTCGAGGGAGAAAGAGAAGTGGAGGGGGGGAGGTGTGGCACAGGCCAGCTTCATCAGCCCCCCCCCTCTCCCAGTGCCGCCTTCCGTCTGCCCCGAGCCTGCTCAGCCTAAGGGCCAAAACCCAGGGATCCTCGAGTCCGCAAGATGCTGACGTGCACCTCTTCCTTCCGCCGCAGTCCACCGAGTTCCCGCCGGCGGACCCGCCAAGGCTTCCATTGCTACTGTCTGTTTGCTCGGTCTTTTTCGAGGGCTCGACGCTCTGGGTCTTTTCGAGGGCTTCTCTCGGCGCCACCGTGTCGATAATCGAGCGTCCGGGATCTTCTGACCCGGGTCAATCCAGACCCGGGTCAGTCAGGCCTTGCAAGATCCTGCAAGATCCTGCGCCCAAGCCCAGGTCAATGCGAAGGATCCTGCGGGATCCTGTACACAGATCCTGGTCAGTGCGACCCTGGCCCTGCAGGATCCTGCAAGATCCGGCGCTCTGGCTGACCCCCCCGAAAGCTTCCCGCTGAACTTCCGCCGGGCTCCGTCCGCTTCTCTTGCCTCCGACTCCACTTCGGACTGGCAGAGGAAGCGCCAGCCCGCGGCTCGCGCGGGTTGTCTTGGAGCCAGCGTCGCAGTCGCAGGCTTCAGGCTACGGCTGGGTGGTAGACGGTAGACACGCGTCACGGTAGGATAAAAGCCCAGACGACTGGCTACTCAATTTGGGGCAACGATAGGGGGGGATAGGCAGAGGGGGAAAACATCGACCTTGAATAGGCGATACATCGCCGATAGATCGGCGATAGGCCCCCGATAGTGAATCCGCACGTTCCTGAGCAGATTGGGGCGGCGATCAGTCGGGGGTTGGGGTCGATGCATCCCCCCTAAGCCTATCCCCCCCTATCCTTGCCCCTGACTCAATTTGGAAGATGGTCGGACACACGCTGACATGGATTAGGGATTCGTGGATCTGGCACGTGAGCGCCAAATCCACTGACCAGGGAAAATACTCCCCGAAGTATGCAGCCAGTGCCGCTGGATCTGGCGACGAGGAGCGTCGAAGCTGCATGGAAACGGGACCCGTCACTAAGTGAGCGTTTTCTTATTCGGCGTTTCGACATTGGAAGGTTGGGGTGAGGGGCGGGTCTGGCTCCAGACCTCTGCTGAATGCGACTGTTTGCAGCAGTGCGTCCTAAGGGGGGAGAACCCACCTGCCCAAAACAGGCGCCAGAAACAGCCAAGACCTACTCCAGAAGGGGGGGGAGGGAAAGGGGGGTGCGAGGGCCCGCGCCGATCGGCGAAACAATGAATAAAAAACGACCACTGAAATAATCCACGCGCCTGGGTCCATGCGTGCGCCTCCGTGAGATGGAGGTCGGGGGCGGCCAAGAGGGGGTGTCCAAGACGGGGGGGGGGGGGGGGGGGGCAAATCATGGCCGGCGGCATGTGCGCGGATCAGGGGTGGGGCCAGGGACGTCTTGAAGTACGAAGGCGCGCCATGAAAGCTGGGGAGACATCGTGGCCCCGCCCATGATGTCCACCTCCCCCTGGCCGTCACCCCCCTCTTGGTCGCTCCCGAGGAGGTGGAGAGGCCGGGCGTAGAGCGGAAGACGCCCCCCCCCCGCCGGCGTGGCCGCCGCGGGCGCGGCGCCGCGCCCCCGAGGCGGCCCCGCGGCTGCGTCGGGCGGCCGTGCCGCTCCCGGGCCGCGGGCCTGTGCCGCGCTGCTCCTCCGCGGGGTGGCCCCCCCGCGAGGCAGAGCCGCGCCACGCGGCGCTGCGATGCCCTGCGCCATACGCCACACGCCACACGCCATACGCCGAAGCGCGTGGGCGAGAGCAGGAAAAGTCGGCTGCACGCAAGAGTGACCCTGGGTAAGAGTGACCTTTTGTGCGCGGCTTTGGGGGGGCCGCGGGGGTCAAAACTCAGGCGCGCAAGACGCTACTGTCGCATCGCAATCGGTGATCGGGAGACCCGATTGTGCCCGCACCACAGGTCACTCCGGCGAAAGGTCCCCTTACGTGTACTCAAACAAGAAGTCACTGGGACACCAAGGCACCAGGCCTCGCATGCAGCGTGCGTTGGGAGTGCCAGCAGGAGATCGACTTCCCCACGGCCGCTTGCAGTGCTCTCCGCAACAGCTCGCCAGTCGACGGGGTGCCGCAGGCGCCGTGCCGCCGTGCCGTGGGCACGGGGTGAAAGGTTCTCATCGGCGGCGAGCGAGGGGGGGAAGTGAGAAGAAGAAGGTCTTCCAAGAAGGCGGCGGAATTTATTAGAAGCCCTCGCGTCCTCTGAGAAGTGTGCTGTGCAGTCGGGGAAGGCTTAGAAAACTTCGGAGAAGGCCGGGTGACTTCCGAGCCTTCGGAGAAGGCCCGCCCCTTCTCACTTCCCCCCCTCGCTCCGCCGATCTCAAGTCCCTTCGAGCACTCCTGAAATTCTCGGATGATGGGGACACGGGATACCCAGAGGGCCTCAGAACGGTCCAAGACGCCCCGAGAAGGCGCTGGAGCGCTCCGAAATGGCGTCATGACGGTCCATGAAGCCCCCGAGACGCTCTGAGAGATATCAAAATGGACCCCCGAGAATGCCCAAAGAAGCTAGAGCCATTGATTTATCCTCAGGTGCTCGATTGGTTTCGCCGTCTTGCCTATTCGGGCTTCCAACACTCCAAGGCACCCCACGAGGCCAGGGGCCACCGAGATCCTCCCGAGACTGCCCAAAGGACCCCATCAAGGTCCCAATACGGCCCCAGATTGCCCCAAGACGGCACCCGCAGGCTGCCTCCATAAGGGCCACACGAGGAGCCCAATCGAAGGAACTCAAACTGACATTGGGAGCCTCCCCCCTGCAGATTACCCCCAAACGCCCAACATGCACCCAGAACCTCCCAGACGTACCAGATGCCCCAATAGCCGCAACGAGGCTTCCAAACAGCCCCAAGCAAGAACCCCGAGCGATCCCAACGGGCATGCAAGAGGCCTCAGCCCAGAATGCAGGCCCAGTGGCCAGAAAGGCCGCAGGCAACATGATCCGCCGCCTCTCTGTCTTGCAACGGCGTGATTGGCGTGTGCCAAGATTGCGACACCCTCCTGGCACTGGAAACAAGTTCGCTGCGGGGTCTCCACGCACACAGCCAGCCATCAAGAAAAAACGGGAACAAATGGCGATACAGGAAAACCCGTCTCCAAGACTGCCGAGATGGCCTCCAAGACGGCCCCGAGACGAGTCTTGCCAAGATGGCCTCGCGAGGCAAGAGAGCTCGAGAGGGCCCCCGGATGCCTCCAACACGGCCTAGGATGCACACGATGCGTTCCAAGATTGCCTCCAGACGGCTCAAGAAGCCTCCACACGGCCCAAGAGGGCTCCAAGAGGCCCTCTGCGAGGGCCCAAAGAAGCCCAAATCATTGGTTTCCGAAGCGCTCGTGGAATCGTTCCCGCATTCCCGCCGCTTCGGGCTTCCCGCAGCCCTAATCGACACCATGATGGGCTTGTTTTCCACCACCACCACCACCACCGAAGTAGGAGGGGAAGGGGGTCCTCCTCCTCCTCCTTCTTCTCCTTCTCCTCCTCCTCCTCCTCCTCCTCTTTTCCCCCTCAAACTTATTGTGGTGGTGGTGGTGGTGGTGGAGGAAAACAAGCCTGAATCGACACCATGGGACTCCTCAGTAGCCCGCAGGCCCGGCCTCCGCAGGCATCGGACGAGTCGAGGAGAGCGCACCGAGACGTTCCAAGACCTAAAGAGGCCCCCCAGAGGCCCCCAGGAAGGCACCCGAAGACCCCCAGGACGGCCCCAAGAGGCCTCATCCTCAT